TTGCAAAAAATAACACAAAACTGAGCCAACTCTTCTAGAAATCGTTTAAATTACTACATAGTGTGGTAGGGAAATTGTGCGTAGAGGAGAAATTGGTACCGTCTAGGAATATTTTGTCTCTCTACTACCTATATATTTGCAAAAAATTTGTAAGGGGGAAGATATTCAGAATTGGACATATCCTACAGTGCCAAATCTACAAATTATGGAGTTTAAATTATTTTGATATTATTCACTATGCATCTGTATCTTCATTAAAACATTGCTTTTGTATCTAGGACAAAGACTTTGATATAAAAGGCTAATCACATAAAACAGGTATATATAACAGTCATAAGGGTCTCAGCTAAAGCAAAATCAGGTTAAACCAGAATACACGTAAAGCTTCCTAACTTGTTTAACATAGAATGCTTTAGAGGGGGAAAATCCTGAATGGAAAAGCAGACTAATATTTGAGTAATTAATGTGAAAAGGAAAGAAAATTGATGTCTGCTTTGTTCCTCAAAGTTTTTTTTCTTATCTTTTCAAATGAAATTATATAAGCTCCCACAAAAAGACTAAAGTTAGTAAACTTTTGTGTATCATCTGGATAACCAATACAAATGTAATAAATTACTTACTAATGCACGTGGGTTGAGCTGACCATCCATTTTTCCGACATGTAATTGATCCTGATGTTTCACCATCTGCTGTTATATATCCTAGTTTGCACTGATATTTTGCTTGTTTATTTAAGGCATATGTATACTGAGATTCAGAAATAAACCCATTCTCAATGTCTATACTTGATTTGGAGCATGTTTCTAAATGGAAGAGGGTAAGAAAAAGACAAGCATATGTTCAATAACATTTTTTAAGAATTTAAATAATATGCAAATATAAAAAATAATGAGTCATTTGTAACTGAACACCTAGATAATCATAAGCATTTAAATACTTCAGTCAAGGAAAATAAGTTCTGAGTTGCCAAAGATATTATATCAAGACTCTTTGTCATTTTTTAAAACAAGGCTCTATTTAAGACACTTACAATTCTTTCTAAGAAATTATTGGAAATCTGTTTGTCTAATGGATTTGGAATTCTTCAGCATGCCAGAACTCAATAGACAATGAATATTATTTCTTAGGAGTTTTTAATCTTGCCTATTTTAGATCTGCTAGGCAATTCCAAAACTCATTTAGTCAATTGGAGTATCTGAGATCTTGTGATGATCTTAAAAAATCTGCCAAAATAACAGTCATAGTCTTTGGTTCCAAGAATTTGAAATGCCAGTGTACTTCAAAGTAAATGGACACGTGGAGTTCAAAGACGATGAGAGACAGTAACAGATTTATTTATCTTGAAAGGCCAAAATGATGATTCTTCAAATTATGTAGAACTTAACTTGAAAGAGTGGAAGTTACTGTCTCTGTAAACTGATGATAGAAATTACTGTCAGTTCCTAGGTTGCTTCCCAGAACTCAGCTTCATTTATAAATAACTCATGAATAAGGAGAAAATCAGAAGAGGAAACATTAAATATTTTGAATTGAATGAAAATTAGAACATATTAAATAAAACTTGGTGAGAAGATACTCAAATAGTGCTTAGACAGAAATTTTTCATTATATAGCTATAAAAGAAAAGAATAAACACTGAAAATAAAGTATTATTTACAATAAATTATAACGAAGAAAGCAAACAAAGCATACTTATCCAGCATGAGTATAAATTTTGAGAGGTGAATTAACTTACAAAGGTGACACAGCCGTCATCTACATCGCAGCCTGGAGATAGAAAGTGGTGCCTCTTTAACCTCATTAAACTCTTTCTAACATATTTTCTTAACAGTGCTTGTAAGTGAAGTTCACTCAATTGTGTAGTTAAACATATTTTCCAAGGAGCTGCTTGTGAGCTCAAGTCAAAAATTTAAAAATCAACTCAAAAGATAACTGCAGTTTTTAAAAGAGAGTATAATTAAAACAAGATTTGTATGTGTAATTTTGAATCATACCACTTAAAATGTGGAGGGCACAGAAGAGATCAACTCTTCTACCACCACTATCACCCTGGCCCTCAACATATGGTAATATCTGTAAAGGTCACATTTTCAGAAAGTCACTTGACCTCTGATTCGATGTTGGATAATACTGTTACCTGCTTCACTGACTGTGACAGTCCTCATCAAAAGCTAACTTGCTCCCCTCCGTAAATGTTTTCAAATATCTCAGGATAGTCATTATAATGCTATAACTGTATCTTTTTGTATGCTTTTTTATGCTATAATTTCTTTAACTCTTCAACTATCTATATATTTTCTTCCATGCCATGATGGTATTCTGTGCTTTATTTGACAAATGTTTTCTTTAAGTGATTATTTTAAAGGAAATCACAGCCAGTTTGCACTCATGCAGGACACACTCCAATATGTATCTGCTGTATTCGCTCAAGTATATTTAAATTTTTCTGCTTATTTTCACAACATGATTTGAGCAATTTAGAGTTTATTAAATTGAAAAGTGCTGTGATTCACTGATAATTGACTGTACATTGATAATGCAATGTTGATATCCCAATCTGAAGATGAAGCTAAGACTTGTTAATGATATGACCACCATAAAGTATACTAAATAGCCTGACTAAAGTACAGGGTCTAACTGTGAAGAGTAAAATAGTTAACATTATTAGAAACTTTGAGCCCACAAACTTGCAATTAGAAAAAGGAAATAAAGAAAGAAGAAAGAAAGGAAGAACCAAGAAAGAGAGAAAGAAAGAAAAAAAGAAAGAAAGGAAAGAAAGAAGAAAAAGAAAGAAAGAAAAGAAGAAGATTGCAGAAAAAGACAGAATGGAAGAAGAAAAGAAAAGAAGAAGAAAAACAAAGAGGAAAAGAAATGAGGACAAGAAATGGGAAAAGAAGAGAGAAAGAAAGAGAAAGGAACAAAGAGAAAAGAAAGGGAAGAAAGAAAGAAAGAAGAGAGAAAGAAAGAAAGAGGAGGAAGAGAAAAGAAAGAGAAAATAAGTGTAGTTGACTCTACAAAGCTGTCCAAACCCCAAAGCAAAAGGGGGCATCAACCTGGATTGAGTTGGTTGATATCAGCAGAAATTGCACGATATAATCTAAGCCTTGTTGTTAGCCTCAAGTAAATTTACAAAGAAAAAAATAAAAGTAATGGGGATCATCTGGCCACTGAACGGCTGAGATACAAAACAGAGACTGATTGAAGAAAAAAAAAGATTTGGATGAAAGGTCATGCTTAGGGTGAAAGTCATATGCATTACTTATTTTTTAAGCCGATATTTAGTTAAAATTGGAGTTGGAGGTTACAGGAGCCATGATCGCACCGCAATGCACTCAAGCATGAGGTGACAGAGTTGAGATTATGCCTCATAAAATAAAATAAAATAAAATAAAATAAATAAAATAAATTCAATAGAGGGTTACTGGAATGCTGGTTCAAAAATTGCTTACTAATACTGCAGAATAGACTATTCAGAATAAGAGTCATTGTGTGTGTGTATGCCCGTGTGTGTATACACACACAATGTACAAAATATACAACATAACACATACTGTATGAGAAAGGTACCATAAAAATTGTTAGAGAATTGTTGAGTTTACCATATTTTATTTAAAAATTAAATATAGCTGTTATCAAGAATAAAATAAAAAGTATTTTTCAAATATGAAAAGATAACATATAACTTTTTAGAATAAAGAATAGTATAATACCTCTGTGCTTTTGAAAAACTATTCCTTTAAAAAGAACCAAAAAAATTCATCATGAAAAAAGATTGACAATTATTTAGTAAAATGAGCAACTTATGTTCATAATGCAAGAAAAAGGAAAGAACAGCACTAGCCACAAAGAGAACGCATTTGCATTACATATAATTAAAAGAGATTTTATATTCAGAAATATTAAGATGATTCCAACTAATAAATACCAAAATCCCAAAAAGGTAAATCAAAAAAATATCAAACCGCATTTCCAAAGATTAAAATCATTAAATAACAATTAAATTGTGAACATATATTGTAAATTCAGTTGGTAGTAAAAGAAATGAAAATTTACACTACAATGCTGTAACATTTTATAGCCATTCAACTTGTAAATATTAAAATGTGACATCACCACTCATTGGTAACATGTAAAAAAAGAAGGAACTGTTGATATAAATGTATATTGGAATAAATACTGTAGGAAACCTTCTAGAGTCGAATATGCACAATATCCCAGAATACCCATTTGTATTTAATGTTCTTGGTGTGAGGTGACCAACCTCAAGTATTGACCCCAGACACTGATGCCACTTCGATATGACTTTATTTAGCCAACAAGTATTGTGCTCTCCTTACTGTATTCTTGACTAATGTCCATTAATAGGAGCATTTATTTTGCTATGTTCTTATCAAGAAATTTGTATATTCACACAATTAAAAAAGTAAAACTAAATAGGTCCATTGGCAAGACAAGTTAACAAAAACATTTTACAACAGTTAATATAGATGAGTCTGAGAATGTCATCCATGTTACTTAGAAAGACATGAACATGCTGGGATCTCAGAGCAGTGTACTTACTGACACGAATGCATCTGGGAGGAGGAGACCAGCCATTCTCCGTACAGTTAACTGTGGTCTGCTCATTTGGAAGACCATAGCCAGGATGGCAGGCAACTTCTATAGAGTTACCCTGTACAAACTTTCTTCCATTATTTTCGTTATATCCAAGTTTATTAAAATTATTGTTACAATGTTAAATAAGATTGCATAAACATCCAAAAAAAGTATAAATTAGTATGAACTAAAATTACTAACAAAGATTTGCACAAAAAGAAATATCAACATTGAAGATTACTTCTCTGTAGTTTAAATAATTAAAATATGTATAAACTATATAGATATTCTCATAAAGTCTCTATATTTATTTCTCATATGATTTTCAAGAACTCTTCGTAATAGAAAAGATCTATCCTCATCATTTTGCTTGAACAGCTCTTTTCTTGGCCCTATTTCTGTTACATAAGACAAGAGTAATCACTTATGTACTCTTCTGTCTTTAATCTTTGAAAGTTTTATGCATGTATAGCTGTCCAGAGGTTTACCTACTGAGGCATGGTACTGCTGGTGACCACCCATCTTGTGTGCAATGAATGTAATCCCAGTAACTTCCTGAAGGAGTCTCAAAAGATTCATCACAGTGATAGGAGAAATATTTTCCTACAGGTACTGGAAAGTATGGTCTACGCATGCTCTCATAATACAGACTTCCATGTTTAATGTCGGTAAAATGACAAGGTCTCACTTGCAATAAAAAACAAACAAAGTATACATATTTTTTACTGTAATAACTCATATTAGAGATAAATTTTGATATCACCTTCTCTCAAACATTTTCTTCTGGAATTACAGCAACCACGACTAGTTTCCTGATCCTGACTGCTCATCTTATAATCTCTTTTCTTTTGTATAAATTAATAACCCATCATCTGGCCATTTTATTTCTCCACTTAAAATCCTTAATGGATCCGAAATCAATTAACAGGACAAGAAGAACCTCATTCTACTTTCTCTACTTCTGCTAATGTAGTATGGTCTCTTCAGCAACTCTGGAGGTTTTATCAGCATTAATTTAAACTGAGCTTATCTAACTCTATACCAAGTTATGCTAAAGCTGTCAGTTCAGGGTGTAATATTAGCATTAATTGTTTTTTGGAAAAGAGAAACAAGAAATACGACTCTAACATTAAAAAAATCAGAAATGTGGCAAATTATCTTTAGAAATAAAACATTTTGTTGAATTTCGTGGCATTTTGTTTGTATTCGATGGCATGCATTCTTATCATAGTTCGAATTCATGTATCGGATGAGATATATTATTGACATAATAAATATAGGTCCATACAAGAATGTTCAAATATATATATTTTATATATATATATATATATTTACACAATAATTTAAATAGCATACAATTTATATTTCTTTTATAATTCTGGAACAAGTGATAGAAAATAATATTTACAACCTATATATTGTGAAAACTTAGAATGTAACTAAAGAAAAATCTTTAAGTTTGAATCATCATAAATCAGAACTGGAAGGAGGCTAGCGGCACAACAGCTTTAGTGTGCAGACGAGAAGACTAAGTTCAGAGAAGTGACATCTTTACTTAGTGGGAAGCGTTTGCTAGTTACAGAACTGGCTCCAGAGGCTTGTCGGGTGACGCATGACAGCTTCTCTGACCCAGCCTTTCAAGCATGGATGCACAGTTTTCTGCTGAGTGTCTCCTCCATATTGGAAAATCTAACTTTCCCTGCTCTGTGTAACCTCCTGAGATACTCTTACATTTTCTTATGATTGCAAGATATTTAGTCTGAGAAAAAAATGGACATATATTAAAGGAAATCATTTTTCTTTTTCTTTTTCTTTTTCTTTCTTTTTTCTTTTTCTTCTACTTTTTTTTGATGGTCTTGCTCTTTCGCCAAGGCTAGAGTACTGTGGCACGATCTCGGCTCACTGCAACCTCTGCCTCACAGGTTCAAGTTATTCTGCTGCCTCAACCTCTTGAGGAGCTGGGATTACAGGTGTGCGCCGCCACACCCGGCTAAGTTTTTGAATTTTCAGTAGAGACAGCGTTCCATCATGTTGGCCAGGCTGGTCTCCAACTCCTGGCCTCAAGTGATCCGCGCGCCTTGGCCCCCCAAAGTGTTGGGATTAAGGCATGAGCCCCCGGCTTGGTCAAAAATTACTTTTCTTAGTCAACGATAATTTCGAACCTGTAGCAAGGTTTTCATAGTTTAGGTTTGTTTCTAAAAATCGTTTTTCCCACTAAAAGCCACTGGAATTTCATAGAGAAACTAAAGGAACTTGGTCTGTAGTAGGAAAAGTCAAGGAAAGCCTGGGACCTTTTGTTATGCCAAAGCTTAATGGGGGCACGTGAAATATACACAGAAGCCAGCTTCTTAGTGAGATTTGAAACAGATTTGAGCGTCCGAAAGAAGTACAATGGCAATTGATTGTAATGCATTGGGTACTGAAAATGATCAGTTTAAAAGGGATTTAGAAGCAACCCTGCTCTACAATATGAATTGTCACCCTTGACACTTTGTTATGGCAACTCTAGTAGATGAATGTACAATTTATACAACTCTAAGAAGACATTCAAAATTAAAAATAATGTTCTTGACACCCTATTTTTAAATAAGTGTAAATAACTTATGAGTTGATGAAAGAAATATTGGTCAATACAAATTCAATGAACATTATAATAAGTTACAATTATAAATTTTCTGTCAAGTTTATCTTTCAAATAGTGTGGCTTCCAAAAGAATTGTCATGCTAATTTGATTGTTCAGAACTGCAACAGCAACTACCATTAAAAAAAAATTTTTAGCATAAGCAACTCACAAAGTATATCATTCATTAATCATAGAAAAATATCTGTTGATTTGATTTACTAGATTCTGAATATAGATGAATACAGATAATATGTAAACAAAAAGTATTCAACAAGACAAAAATCAGCAAAGACAATACACCCAAGATATTATTACCAAATTCTGATGAATACCCTCTAAAATCTGTGTTGGAGTGTGTGTGTGTGTGTGTGTATGTGTGTGTGTATATATATGTATCCTTGAGTAAAAAGTAGAAAGCTGTTTTAATTATTAATATTGTTTTAATAAATTGTGTAAATATCATTCTATTCATCTGCTAGAGCTACCATAACAAAGTACACAGATTTCATAGAAATTTATTTTCTCACAGTTCTGGAAGCTACTAGTTTGAGATATAGCTGTCAACGGGGTTGAATTCTTCTGAGACCTCTTCCTTTGTCTTGTAAATGGTTGTATTCTCTCCATGCTTTGCGTGGTCTTTCTCTATCTATATGGTGTGCCCTTATTTTCTCTTCTTATATAGACACCAGTTATATTGGAGTAGGGCCCACCTGAATCATTGACCTTTACCGTAGTTATCTCTTAAATACTCCTCCAAATGCACTCACATTCTCAGGTATTGAGAGTTTGGACTTTAACAGATGAATTTTGGAGGGATGCAGTTGAGCCAATGCTACTGAATACACAAAGATGTTTCTCTCTACCCAAGACGTTATTCCACTAAATGAGTTACTTTCTCCTTTGAGAAATGTAGGTGCGACCCAAATTTCCAAGACATTTTGCTCAAGTTTACTCTTACAAAGAGTTCATTGGAGGAGACAAGTTTTCAACGGGAATATCAGATAAAAAAGAATTTGTCATCATTCTTTTCTATAGTGCTTTTAAGATAGTAAGTAAGAAAGTATAGCCCATATGCTTCTCTAATTCCAGTCATTTCAAACTAGTACTATTTTTCTTCTTTGCATTCTACTTTAATCTATTTAATCTTTATTTGAAAAAATGTACCTGGAACAGTTCAGTTAAAAAAGCAAATAACCGGAGTAATTCCTTTTTTTTCCATTTTGGCATAGATCAAGTTTGTTTTGCACAACAAATAAAACTAGCAAATCATGTGATAGATAATACCATAAAACTTACAGCTCTTTCCCTAGAATCAAATAAGGTGGCCTAGTTTTGAGAGGAGAGGCTGAGGGAAAAGATAGTCTCATAAATTGACAATGGTATTTCCAGTATTACCCTCTGTTGTGTTTGCTGAAATATTATAAAATCTTGAATAATTACAAAGTTTGTATTCTTCATTAATGGCCACACACCCTTGATTGGCCATGATTTTTGACCCATATGGTTCAGCTGCTAATGTTATGATATAGTTCTTTAACATGGAAAGCCTGCATTCAAAAAGATAGTTAATATAGAAAATATATGACTTCCAAGGAGAAAAGAAATCAGTGAACAATAACATAAAACTCTGAAAAGTATTTTCTGTGTATTTACTTATTGAACATTTGCTAGTGGACTCAGAAAAGCCAGTCAAAACTTACTGTCATCCCAATGTAAGTTTATATTCTACTTTTTATGTCATTCCAATATAAGTTTATATTCTATATATATAGAAATATGTTGCTAATTTTGTTGAAACAGTAAGTTGATGATAATGTTAATTAGTTTTAGCAGCTTTTTAAAGATATAATAGAAATATACAAAACTGCATAATTTAAAATTATTATTTGATTTTTGATATATAAATCTATAAAAATCACCATATGTAAGATTATGAAAATATCAATCACCCCCAATGTTCCCCTTGTATTACGGATAAGAAAATTCTGAACGTTTCAAGCTTAGAATCTGTCTAATGACATGTTTCCTAATCAAGTTTCATGAGTATGTTCACATATATCCTTAATCAATATTAAATGCCTTTTACAGTGCAGAACTTAGAAAACAAATAAAATGTTATTCATTTTTTATTTAAGTTAAAATGAGATAACATTTTATAAAATTAGTTTCTCTTATACTCCAACAAATATATGCCACTTCCACTAGCATAGTGAATAAATTCTCTTTGATTCATTAAAAAAAGATAGACATACAAAGCTAGATATTACTTGAAGTTACATTTAAGAGGGAAGCTGAGAGTTTAGATCTCTTTTAACTTACCTTGTCCATTAGCACAGAAAACCCACAAGGTGAGAATCACATTGATTAGTAACAACATGTTAGATATTCTCAGTAGTATATATTAATACAAAGGTCTCAATTGCACTGTTTGGGGTTTGAAATCTTTCCTTGCTAGTTACCAAGTGTGATTCTGAATTTAAGTGCACTACCACAAAGCTAAGCCTTTAAGGTC